CACCAAGAGTGGAGTAGGGTTCTTTTTTCCCAGAGTTCATGAACAAAAACCAAACTGCATGGGAAACACTTCAAATATCAACAACGGGGATCTCATGTCATTAAAAAGTTTTTGCCCATCAAAAAGAATCACCAACAGGGTGAAAAAAACCCACAAACTGTGAAAAAATTTTAGCCATCTGTATCTCAGACAAAGGACTTCTATCTAGGACATATACAAATTTTTAAAAATCAGACCCCCAAAATTCAAAGGCCCAATCCAAAAATAGGCATCTGAGATGAATACACACTTCTCAGATGAAGAAATTCGAAAGGCAAGTAAATACATGAAAAAATGTTCAACATCATCGGTCATTTGAGAAATGCAAATTAAAGCAACACAGATTCCATCTCACCCTAGAAAGAATAGCTATCATCAAAAAAGCAAGTAATTTTTGGTTTTGGTAGCGCTAGGGTTGGAACTGAGGGCTTTGCCCATGCTATGGAAGTGCTTTACTGCTGAGCTGCACCCCATCTCCAAAAATATTTCATACTTTATGTTTTCCTTGAAAATGATTAGACGTCTTTCCTTAAATCTTTTTATTCATAAGTAAGAGTGTCCAATGGACAATCTTTTTTTAAAAAAGAAAATATTTTCACCTACCCTGCCACTATTTCTTTGTTTACTGAGAAAATAGTGGTTAAAAAGTTTCTCTTTAACTTCTACAAATGTAGGATGCTTTCTCTAGGTCTTTTCTAGAAAGAAGTGGAGTGGAAGTGAAGAACCTTTCTATCTCGCTTTTGTCATTTCTCCCTATTCATGCAAAGGAGAACCTTAAACTCCTGAGGCTTTTTCAAGAGTTTTTCCCCCTCAAGATTTCATTAGGAAACATTTTTTGGATCATTGCCACTGTGCTAATTTTTGGCCATTTTAAATTCATCTTTATATTAAAGACTTGGTTCTGCAACAGTATAGCTATAAAAGATTGAAGGTGGTTAGTTCCACAGATTTGTTAGTTCTTTAAAATATGATGTTATTTCTCTAGATTAAAATTACCTCAGAAATTCCAAGGAGAAAAAATTCCAGAGATTTGAAAAGAAAGCAACACCTCTTATTTCTTTGTTATATTGTTATATCAGACACTATAAGAAGTTACTGCTGTGAAAAGTTATACAAATCCTGGTATTGTTATCGTTCTTTTCCAGAGTAAAACAAAGAAACTATTTAAAATATAATAAAACAACAAAATGTATGCCAAATGTCAGTTTAATTTGGTATATTTAATAATTTTAAAAACCTATTACAAAACTGTGTTTAAAATAACAAAATATTTTTAAATGAAGCATAAATAAAACTTACAAATTATGTAAGTTATGGGTGAGGAGTATAGCTCAGTTGTAGAACTCTTGCCCAGTATATATGTAAGGTCCTAGCTTTGCTTTCTACTACCAAAAGAAATCATGTACATTTTCAGTGCATGCTATAAATTTCTCTCATGATGATCAGAATGTTCTCACAAAAGTGCCAAAATATTAAAAGAGAAATTAAAATATATCTTCTATACATAGTATTGACATATTAATATTTGTATTTTCAAGAGACCCAGACAATGTATCCAATTATCCCATCACAAAATAACAGTGTGAAATACATATTGAACTTCTGACTCATAGAAAACATGGACAAGTCTATGAATATTCTGTATTCCCTCTATGAAATTAAAAGTAGTTTAATTAACAGTAGTCTTTTTTTAATGACCCAGGGATCATTTCCCCAAGGTGAGTCACACTTTTAAATATTATTGCACAGATATCAACTATTTAGTGCTGATACCCAGTCTGTCCAAGCTATTTGCTTTGTTCTGAAAATTTAATCTATTAATAAATTTTAAGATCAGCTAACATTTCTCCAGAAATTATATCTTTATAAAAATTCACCAAGCTCCTAATGAAAGAAGAATTATGGCATTTTATTTGGTAAGATATAATCCAGATACTTCATGACTTATTTTGCTTCTTAAATTTTAAAACATATTGACCTATCTTTGTTTCTCTGCATTACAAAAACATACTAAGACACAGAAAGAATAAAATTTTGTTTAATTATAAAAAAGGAAAAATTTTAAGTTTTATTAAAATCAAGCAAGATAAGGTGGCTGTTTTATTGTCTGAGAAGTTGTAGAAAGCCGAAAGAGAACATATTAAGAAATAATTGTTTCATATTTAAGAAATATTATAGATTTTAACTACAAAAGCCTTTTCAGTTCAGATACTGGATTATTTACTCAGTTGCATCCGGAGTTGTTTGAAGCGCTGTTCCACTTAGGCAAATTTATTGACTATCATTAGATTCACTGTATCCCAAATACTGATGATGTAATCACATTAATCCATTAATTATTTTTATGACAATACACATAGTAGTAAGAGCTCTAACTAGAATGAGAGGTAAAATTCATTTTTTACTGAACAGGTCAAAGTTAGGTTAGTTAATGGAACATGAAAAATTTTTCAGCCTTGTTAGGACCTAGCCAAGTAAATTAGTGTTGATAATTAAGTTATGACCACTGACTTAATAAAATACCATTAAATAAGTAAAAGAGCACATCATTTAGAGCTATGCAGTGAGGACTCAATAACAGAAAGTTAAGAAAAAGATATCAGTCTAAATTTGAGGTAGTGATGGCAATGTCACTGCTGAGGAGCTGTTTTACACACACACACACACACACACACACACACAGAGGACATACGCAGTGCAATCTGTGCAATTTGTAGTTTATAAAAAGATTTAATGCGATATCTGGGGGGACGTTCTATGACACTACAAATTTCATTTTTCCAAATTTCTACTTCACCTGTCTAAATCAGATAGAAAATTTGCATTGATAAATTACTTATCAAAGATTCAAGAAACTGACTTCTTTCTATGGCATTATTCATATTTCACATGTTGTAATATTGCAGAAAGTCACGTTAGCATTGTTTTCTTCCACGAGAATTCTGAGAGGTAGTAATGGCTGAGGCAGTTTATGATACATTAAGTAGTATAAATGTACTCCAAAATCTTGACACCTTCACTAACTCCCTCATTTGTTTCCAAGAAAATGATGAAGTATTGTTAGAGCTATACAAGTGTGGAATTGCTCTGAAGTGGTGGTGAGCACAAGAATACATATAAAGCTTTTCATAAGTTTTGCTAACTATACCAGGAATACTGATGCTGCTGTTGCTGCTAATAATGACGAGCATGACAGTGAAGCAGTTCTGGCAATGCCGGTGAGAAGAGAAACTGATTACCATGCCTATCTCATCTATTACAGTATTATTCCGAGACTTTCAGGGTTGAAGACAGCCTGAGATCTTTTAAATTTCTCATTTCCTTACGGTATTGGGGATACTAATTTGAAAGCTTCCAATATACAGAATAAAGAGGTGTGATGTTCCCAAGTTAAATATTCTTAAAATAGAATTAAAATTCTTTGAATGAGTCACTTGTTTCAGAATGAATCTGTAAGCTATGGGTTTTTACATTCATATTTGAAGGGGGGGAAATTGATTTTAAATATTTTGACTGTAAGGTATTTTGGTAGATTAAATAGAAAAATCCATTACAACAAAATTGGTGTAAAATTTACTTAGCCTCATATTTTAAAAAAATAATTCAGCTCAGGTATAATATATCATTATGAGTCTCTCCCTCCCTCCCATCCATCCTCCCATCTTTCTGCCTCCATCCCAACCTCCTTCACTTCCTCATTCCCTCCCTTATTCCCTTCCTTTTTTCCTTCCTTCCCAGCACTGGTGATTGAACCCCAGGGCTTCTGCATGCTAGGCAAATACTCTAGCAATGAGCCCTTTTTTATTTTATTTTATTTTATTTTATTTTGACATGCACTTGCTATTCTCCCCAGGTTGGGCTCCAATTAATAATTCCCCTGTCTTAGCCACCCAATCAGCTGGGATTATAGGTATTTGGCACTATACCTGGTTGAGAGCTATTTTTCTGACATACATTCTTGCAAGTGCTATGTTTAATATGCTGTTGTTAAGAATGATCTGTACAGAAAAATATTTTGTATTCTTCTAGTGTTGATGAAAGTAAAATACAGTGTTTTTACTCATAATAGTCAAATTAGTACTTTTATGAGCAGGCATACAATGAAAGCAAGTTATGTATTAGTAGACATTCAAGAAAAATTGTCTGAATCACACTTTTGACCATGTTCTTTTGGAGAAGATGGAGAGTCATGTGTAAAACTTTGATGAATAGAAGCCGAAGAGAGTATTGGGAGGATCACTTCAGTATTGCAAGTTACAGTTGTTCCGATTTTTTTAAAAACCCATCTTAAGCAATATGTCTATACATGCATAATAAAAATGGTGACCAATGAAATCAAATCATTTTCAAGAGAAATATTAAAAAACTCGTAAATTAGAAGACCCAGTGGACACTATGGAAGAGCACTAAAACCATATATTTATCATGTTTAGTATTTCTCTTTCTCTGTCTCTCACTTTCTCTGTCTCATTTGTGTGTGTGTGTGTGTGTATTTGTGTGTGTGTGTCTGAATAGAATGGTATAAAATGCACTTCATTCAGTTGAGATGTGATTTATATAATCAAAGATTAGAAAATCAAACTAGCTTATCACTTATCTTCATTACATCCTAAAATCACTTTTAAAATTAGTACATTTCAAATTGTATTTGTCTAAACCTTTCTACTAACCATTCCAAAATAACATCTCTCTTGAAGAATATGAGCTGCAGACAATAACTGATGAAAGGCAAGCTGATTTTTGGTATAAACAGTTAGTAAGAGTCATGCAAAATATGTTTTTCTCTTTAATTTTGTCTTATTTTAAGCACTATTGTGTTTTAGAAACACAGAAGTGTAAGTCAACTGAGAACAGAGATGTGCCTTGTGCTTTATAGATTGTATTTTTGGAGAGTATGCCTATATTTATACAATAACCTTTATGTACATATCTTGATTCTTAGAGAGAAACTTATCTAAAATATGATTTGTGAAAATCAAACAAGAGTCACTGAATTTATTCTCCTTGGTTTTACCAACAACTCCGAGATGCAAATTTCCCTCTTCATTTTATTCTTGGCCATTTACACAGTAACTTTGTTGGGGAACTTTCTTATTGTCACAGTTACCAGCGTGGATCCTGCTCTTCAAACACCCATGTACTTCTTTCTCCGAAACCTATCGCTTCTTGAAGTTTGTTTCACTTTGGTCATGGTGCCAAAAATGCTGGTGGATTTAGTGTCACCAAGGAAAGTCATTTCTTTTTTGGGCTGTGGTACCCAGATGTACTTCTTTTTCTTCTTTGGCAGTTCTGAATGTTTTCTTCTCTCTATGATGGCTTATGATCGATTTGTGGCCATCTGTAAGCCTCTTCATTATTCAACCATAATGAATAGGTCCTTGTGTTTGTGGATGGTCATAGGCTCTTGGATGTCTGGTGTTCCTGTGTCTATGCTACAGACGGCTTGGATGATGGCCCTTCCATTTTGTGGACCAAATGCCGTAGACCATTTCTTCTGTGATGGACCGCCAGTCTTGAAACTAGTCACTGAAGACACAACTACGTATGAAATGCAAGCTCTTGCCTCCACGCTACTGTTTATCATGTTTCCCTTTTCTCTTATTTTGGTCTCGTACACCCGCATCATCATAACTATTCTGAAGATGCCATCTGCTACTGGTCGCCAGAAAGCATTTTCAACTTGTTCATCACATCTCATTGTGGTATCCCTCTTCTATGGAACAGCAAGCCTGACCTATTTACGTCCCAAGTCCAGCCAGTCTCCCGAGAGCAAGAAACTAGTGTCTTTGTCCTATACTGTCATCACACCCATGTTAAACCCCATCATCTACAGCCTCAGGAACAATGAAATGAAAGGAGCAGTTAAGAGAACAATCAGGCGCAGTCTTGAAGAAGTTAGATGTGGTTTGAATCCTATTTTGTAGAGTACTATAATCCTATTTCGCACAGGCAGCAGAACCCAGTGAGAAAGCTTAAAAAGAAGGGATAGAATAGCTGCTTTTATTCCATCAGTATCATTGTGGTGGATGCATCCTACTGTTCCATTCAGAGTTCTAGCAAGAAGATGATCCTCTCAAATTAGAGTGATTGAGAAAAACTTTATGAGAGGTCATTTAAAAAATTATGGGTAGGGTTAAGGAGTTTCCTCTCAGGTCATGCAATGGAAAATGCCTATTTCATGACCTGAAGATGCAAGTAGGACTATTAACTGTACAGAGGTACAAGTAAATACATGTGCTGCTCAATTTATGATGGGGATCAGTCTTGACAAATCTATTGTAAATTGAAATATCATAAGTGGAAAATTCACTCAGTATCCCAATCTACTGTACATCATAGCTTAGCAGTACAGTTCATTACTGAGTATTGGTTGTTTGCTTTGGTGATCGTGTGGCTGACTTGAAGCTGCAGATCCCTGAGCTGCCTAGGATCACAAAAGAGTGTTGTACATTCCAGTGCTAGCGGGGTTAAAGACAGAATTTAAGATATGAAGTATAGTGAGTACTGAATGTGTGTAACTTTTGCCCTATTTAAAGATCATGAAGTCAAACAACCATCCTAAGTTGAAGAAGAAAATCACCCAACAGGAAGTCTGACTTTTGCCAGAAAAAGCAGTCTTTTAGGCCTTACAGTGTTTTGTCTCTTCTAAACATGTTGTTGACTTCTGTTTTTGGCCAAACCAAATCTGATATCCCTTAATGCATATATGTAAAGGCAAGCCTTTAGGGAAACAGTAGGATAGAAGAGGGTAAGAAAAATCATGAAGAGTAGATGCAAATACCCACCAAAATCTACTACATATTCTGCAACTAATGCAATGCAGAGATGACTCTTGTAATGTGTTTGAAGTGACTTCTTAAAAAATGTATTAAATATGAGATTTATAGTTGTCACTGTGTTGGACAACAGATCTCTTAAATTTATTCCTCCTGTGTGATTATAATTTTTGGTACTTATCTTGCTGAAATTGTTTTGCTTTCATCTGTTGTCTTTCTGAATCTTAACTCCTTCTCCAAGCTTCCATTTTTCCCCTAGCTTCTAATTGAATATTTAAAATCTGGCTTGCAAACTTAAATTTCCACCTGTCTTATGAACCTGTATGCTATGTTCTTTTAAGGCAATGAAATTAAATTAGAATTCAGGATAGAGACATCTGTATATTCTACCTAATATATTTTTTAAATTGCATACACATTTCTATATCACATGAAAATTAGGTCAATCCATGCTGCTGAAAATCATTATATCATGTAAGAAATCATTATATTATGTAAAGTAAGACAGAAATAAATATCA